AATTTACCCATTTTTACACATTAGCATTTTATTGTGGTCATTAACTACTTCAAATTATCCCAATATCTATGTTAAGACAATTAAAAATTAAATATGCATTACTGAAATTAACACATTAAGATTCACCTTAAGAGCATGATTAAATATGAACTTATCTTATTGCAAGGTAGAAGACCCACTTTCGACAAACAGTTCTGGGACAGTAAATTTGTAATACCCTTTAAGATATGGATATGCAGATGGATTTGGGATTTCACTTCTAAAATTCCTCAAAACCATATACAATACATTTCTTACTTCATCGCTAAAATCTGAGTAGAATCTTAACTCTTTGAGATAGCCTTGAAATAAGCCTTCCTAGCAAAGATAAATTTTTTAAGCATTAATTGAAGCATCTCCTTGAATGTCTTAAACATACTGCTGATTGAAATAAAAACTAGCTTTTCTGTTTGTCAACAGATATATGAAATGGTTCCATTGAGAAGGATTTATTTTATCATTTAGTAATTAAAATGGAGCTTATTAGCTCTTAAGATATCCTAGATCATTTTATGCAGTGTAATACACATAGTTTTAATCGAATAATGATCCATCTTTAATTTTTATAATTCTATTTTAAGTACTGTTTGATAAAGCTAATATCCAAAACTCAATAATAAAAGCTTTATCACAAGAAACTGTGATACCTCTCTAACCGAGATTTGTCGTGCCAGTCATCTTTATAATATATTCAATTTCATTTACTTATTAACTACAAGACTATGTATTTATGTCGTAATAAGTTCCGTTGTAGCACAGAGTAAGTAATATGTCATCCCAAATTTTGTTTTAATTTTTGATCGGTATTTTTCCATAGTTATTATAAGACTAATCCTATATATTCGTTGTATTATAATCATTTAATTAGAATGACCAGTAAGTTAGCAGTCCTGCAGGATATTAATCATGAATTATTTTTCTCTTAAAATAGAGTAAATCATTATGACATCTTGCTGGACTCCATATTCTAAGTTCCCTTAAATAAAAAGAAATATCTCCACTTGGGGAATCAAGGATGCCTATGTATAAAAATTCTTTGGTAAAAGTAGGCACAGTTGTAGATTCAGTTCTAGATTCTTCTTTTATAATCGAGTTGAGTATAAATCTGTAATAATTAATATCTGATTCACCAATAAAGGAAAAGGCTAAGTAATTCCAAGTCAAAAAATTTGGAGTTTCACCCAAGGTAAATAACCAGCTAGATTCGTAGCTAGTAGCGACTTTATGCTTTAAAAAAGGTGTATTTTAAACTTTTAAGGAAATTTGCATATCAGAGCATATAGCCGCAGTTTCACACTCACCAAATAGCTAAATAGGTTATTCTGGCAGAACTTTGAATTACACCCAGAATTCAACTGTATAACTTTCAACTTATCTTAGGATTCCAGGTAATACGATTGGAGTTTCGATTCTAAGACTTTTACTCTGGGTATCAGCAGTAGTGATATTCTAATATCTAGGATAGTCAATTTGTCTCCTAGCATAGTATTATGTATCCATTAATTCTTCTTCTAATGAAACATAATAATTCAACTAATTTGGAAACTAGTTGTTGCTATTATACGTGCGAACAGAATTATATAGTTTTACATTCTGTGCAAATTGCATTTTATAGTAAAATGTGAGCTTTTAAACATTGATATTTACTGAATGAATTCTAATAAAAAGTAAGTTTATAGGATTAAAATAGATTATATTTGAAATAGGAAAAGGTTGAAATTAAAAACTTACTTATAGAAAATCGATTGCATTTCTGCTATGGTACAGGTATAATTAGAATAGAAAAGATATTCTCAGGCCTGCATATTAGGTCCGCCTTGACCCTAATTCAGAGCGCTAATTCCTGAATATTAATCCACTTAGTTTTAATAAGGTTACTAAAAGTATTTCATTTAGAGTATTGAATTTAACTTACCCTTTAGATATCACTGAATATTTGATCGTCTTTTTAGATTACAGGCTTAAGATTGTGAAATACTGTATACGAAGTTAAGTTTTTAGTGATTCCTATCCTAAACCAGGCTTTATTGTCTTCTACATATATTTCTGGTGAACTAGTTTATGTATGTGCATTTCCTCCCTATATGTAAGGAACTAATATTTTTCGATTGATATCTATTTGAATGTTGACTGCGTACGCAATTTTGATAGGAGTTGAAATTTAATTGAAATCTTATTGTTTTATCCACAGACTTGCTGTAAAATTATCCAATCTTAAATAGTCAACATCATTCACATAGAAGGTTATAGGATAACCTTATACCACAAAGTCAACCCCTATTATTAAGTAAAAATGTTTGATTTATATTACCAGCAAGTACTCAGTTGTAGTTAAAGTAGAATAAATAGAATATTATAACTAAAATCGATTGGCTTTGTAAGTTTCTGTTTTTATTCATTTTTACTATTGATTCCTATAAAATATTAATAATGATAGTTTATAAAGAATTTCAAGAGTTTAGTCTTTTAAATACTATTTACTATTCAATTACGATCTTTTCTTCAAGGGGTTTTGGGGTTTTGGGGTTTTGGGG